TTGCAGCAGCACAGAGCCATGCATTAATCAGGAAGCTCGAGTGACTAATCCAGTTCACTCTGTCTAGTAAGAGGATTCCAGCAGCAAACATGCCCGGTTTTCTAAGAAGAAAACAAGTCAAGCAAGGCAGCTCCAGAGGACATGAAGAAAATCAGAAGTGACAGATTGGTGTCACCTAAGAGAAAGTATGGCAGGAGATGCCACCATGCTTTTCTCCACACAGAAACCAGGAACGAGCAGGTCCAGAACATCCCTGTTCTGCAAGGTTATAGCATTCCTGACGAGGCACAAAGCTCTCCTTCTGCTCATGGCTTTGGCAAGGTTTTATTTTTTTATTCTTTATTCAAATGCAAACCAACCCATACATTTCTGAAATGCCTGTCATTTAGGAGTTAAACTTTGATTTTAATTAACATGTCTAACCTTTAGGCTTAATGAGGTGAATTTTCTTAAATTCCAGTAGAACACAAGTCCAGCACACCACTTTCCCCTCAAGATAGTCAGCACTGTCCAAAATTCAAAAGTAACTTGTGGAAGTCTGTTCCCACTATTTATTTCCAAATCTCAACCCTTTACCTTTAGATAGAAACTATTAGGATAAGAGAATAGAAACTACTTCTATTTAAATAGAAACTATTTAGTTGAAAGTATTTCCATTACAGCAAGAATAAAGCTGGCCTACACACCATACATTCTTGCTGCACTGCATTCTGGAAAAATAAAATTCAGGGGTATCTACAGTCATAACTGAGTGATAGTAGAATAGAGTAGAAAAGGAAATATGTCTCAACTCAGTTTTGATGTGTAGTTATCCAGCTGTTCTTGCTTTTTTTCTATCTTACCATTGGGATTCTTTGGCTCCTCAAAACCAATGATGTTCTCATTAAATCTAGAGACACTGCTCTGCTGTTCTGCACACACTGTACTTCCACAAATGGGATGGCTTTGGACTCAGGATACTATACCAGAATCTGAGAATTAAATAAAATGAGAAGATTAATGCCCACACTGCCAGCCAAGGCTCCATTAGATTCAGGAACACAGCAACACAAGACTTGCAGCACAGAAAAACGCTCTCTTCACATTTCCTCCCCCAAAAAGTGAGTGCTCTAAATGGTTGCTTCCCTCTCCTCAGGCCTTGCCTTTCTAGGGGAGTTGGGGTAAAAACACCCAACTCCACCCCTGGAACACATTACAACAATTTTTGGCTGCTCTTCTGTATCCAATGATCCCTTTGTTTTCTGCCTTCCTTTCTCCTTGTTTCTCAAAATATGAACAAAGCACTTGGCTGGAAAATCTTTGACTTAAGGAGGTATTTTGTGCCAGGTAGCTCCAAGGAAAATGTGAATTGCTCTGTTAGGCAGGACACAGTTTTCCATGAGGATGGAGCAGTTATTGAGCTCCTGCTACACTTGAACTTTGCCATTTACCAGCAGCTGAACAAGAGCTATTGACCACGACTTCAACAATGGGGGCTTGTGTATAATCACAGAACAATTTGTAAGCAGCTCCTGCAAATTTTAGAAAGGAGAGTTTACTGCTTAATGCAAAGGTCCAAAGAAAATCAACCTAGTGGTGAGCAGAAATACCTTTCTAGGCACACCTTGCACTGATGGGGAAGTGCAGTGCTTCAGTTAGGAAATGTCCTTCCTGAAATTCTAACCATGAGCTGCAGATTTGGTGCAGCTGCCCAAACTGACACCACCTACCCCAGGAAGGGGGACAGGGCAGGCAGTGGGAACACCAGCTTTAGTATCCTCATGAAGTCTCCTGGAATGTTCTAATCCTGCCCCACAAGCACTGCAGGAGTGAAGATCTGATCCAGTCTGAATCCAGGGTGCCTGTGGAGACAGTGCTGGATATGGGAACTGGATCCACAATGGATCAGACTTATGCAGGATTTATTGCAAGCCCAGGGCTCAGGACTTCAGATGATGGATGTGGGTGCAGGTTCCACCACACAGTCATAACTCGGGAGCAAATCCACATCCATACAGAAAATCATTTAAATCTTCAATTTCATTAAGAACATTAAAAAAGCAAAGAGATTAAAACATCCTTTATAGTCAGCATGGACATAAGCTACAGGTAAATAAGGAAAAAACAGGGTGAGAGGCCACACATTTCATCACCTTGGAACAAGATTTACCTGGATTATTATGGAGAATTTTAAAGCAGAGCTGGTTAGATAATCCTAGTTTGAAACAAGATATTTATTTTAAATTACCACTATAACTTTATTAATTACAACAAAGAGCCTGGCCTATAAGAGACTTGATACATAGAACTCTCAACTGTCCCAGTTCTGTGGTTATGTATTTTTGGTGAGATTACAAACAGTAGAACATACATTTATTATTATTTTTCATCTAAAATATGACTCACAGTGTAAAGATTAGGTACCATCTGGCTGTATGTAACAAATCTCATTGTGCACAAATAACCACCAGCATTAAGCTTTTCTCTGTCTTTCAAAGCTGCAATAAATTAGATATTGGCATTTTAAAGACTAAATGTTGACATTCATGGTGTAAAATGTCTAACACAGCAACCAAGAATTCTTACTTGGTGGGAACAGGGAGCATTTATGTTTATCCCTAGTACAGAAAAGCATTCCAATGCTCTTGTGACATTTGATGGAGGCACAGAAAATATCATGCAGCAGAAATATCAGAATTCTCTTGTTAGTATCTAGTGTTGAAATCCGAGAAGTCAAGCTTGGAAATCTCCTTTTCGTTGGAAAAGTTTGTTTTATCGATGCGGGAACTTGGGCTTCCAACTTTGCTCAGCCAGGATTTCCTGCAGGAAAAATAAGAGAGGGTTGGCAGACAAGGAACTGCACATGTGGGGGTTATTCTCTGTCACACCTTCACTCACTTTTACTTTTTTAAGAGCCATAAAAAGCATCTTTCCATAAGGAAGTTACTCTAAATCTGTTCTTTTCTGTTTTTCCCTCCCTTTCCCCTTTAAAAGCAAACCAATCTCTTTAAAGGTATCAGTGTTTCCAGGGGATTTACACAATATTACATAAAAACACAGCTGACAAAATGGCTGAAGCAGATTTACTGCAATGATCCCTCCTAAACACTATTAACAGCATTCCAATAGGTATAATTACCTTTGCAGATTCAATACTGTGCTTTTAGCAAGCACCTACAAACCACTGATAACTGAGAAGTGACAGGAAAACAGAATCCCAATAGCCAGTTTGCTCCTTGCTGGCAACTAAAAGAGTTAGAACTGCAAAGGAATGAGTTCAAAACCAGCAAAAACGCATCAATACTGATTAGCAATAAATACTGAATGTTATACTGGAGAACTCGATACCCAAACACTGGAAATGCAGCAGGTGAGAGCTTACACAGAGGTTTATTTACAAAAAATACTTGGTCAGTATTTTTGGTTGTACTAAACTCCCAAAAGTAGAAAAGAGGAAGTATTTTATTGTACCATATTGAAGGAGAAATGAATTTCCACAAAAATAATTTTTAGAAGTTAGTACAGATACTTAACTGATTACTATTAAAAAGTAATATTCACCTAAATTCTGATTTGAAAACAATAAAAGCTGCCTTATTAAGTTATGTTAATTAATCATTTGCAGAAACACACTGAGCAATGTAAACCACGATATTCTAGCAGTAAGACCTAATTTTGATGACTTTATAATGAGAATCATGCACAGAAATTACTTACCTTGAGCCAGTAAATCAGTATATCACATCTGAGATACAGAAACACCTTGCTAGAGACCTCACATGCAAGACTTTTTTAAAAAGCAATTCTTGACACCAGAAAACATTGCAAAACATCTCAAGGGGCTTCACTGGTAACCAGAGACAAACAATTTTCCCCATGAATCATGTTAGTCCCTCACAGATTGGTCTCATCACCAGCACAGACAGTTCTGAACTTGCATTCAGTGTGATTTGAACAACAAAACAGAGCCTCTGTATGGAAAAACTTCTTACAAAACAGCAACCAGACCCAGGTATCTCAAACGTGACTTGCTTTATTTTAGCATAGAGAAATTAAAATATCTGGACATTCCCTGTCCAGCCTTCACAACAAAAATTCATCCCTGGGTGCTTCCAACTCCCAGGTTCTGCTGGGTGAAGAAATAACTCCAACCTCTGACCAGAGCAAACAATCAATTCTCAGCTCCACATACTCTCCTTCACATGAATAAGGATGAAGCACAAATTATGAAAATCCCATCAGAGCAACCCAGCTCCATGGAAACTCTTTACAGGATGTATGTGTTATTCCTTATTTAATGCAGGAGGGAGGGGAGGAGACAATACCCGGGAATTGCACAACTTTGGGGCTCAGCTCTGCTTTGAGGGGACTTCCCTCAGCCATCTCCCTCTCTCTGCTCAAGTGACAGCCCAGTCACCAGCATTATGAGGAAGCACATTTTTTACAAGCTAAGAAAGCAGAAAACCAGTATTTCCTAGAAATTAAGTGTCATCTCCAATCTCATCACTACAGGGGTATTTTTGGAAATGGTTTTAACTTATGAGTATCTGGATCCACAGTGAAGAAAAGGTTCTGCACCCTCCCCTTGCTTCACTCAGCCTTCTCAATTCCCATTCACCTCAGATCTCTTCATGTGTGCAGAGATGAGCTACAATTACTTGCATTTAGAGTCTTAGCTTGTCATTTATAGCATCCATGTTAAAATTCACTGCTCCTTCCCACTTCTCAGGAGTACAAAAAGACTCCCTCCCCCTCGCTCATCTGAAGCAAAGGAGGATACCACACACCTGACTCTTGTTTTAAAGGATTTATTCCCCAAGTGACTGCTCCAATGAATCCAGAACAAGAGCTAACCTCTAAAAAGCCATTTCTGACCATGTTTAAGTTCACAGAATAGTTTAGGTTGGAAAAGACCTTAAAACCCATTCAGTGCCACCCTCTGCCACAGGTAGGGGACACCTTCCACTGTCCCAGACTGCTCCAAGTCCTATCCAACTGGACACTTCCAAGGCTGAGCAGCCACAGCTTCTCTGGGCAACCTGTGCCAGGGCCTCCCCACCCTCAGAGGGAAAAATTCCACCCCAATATCCCACACAACCCTGCCCTCTGTGAGTTTGAAACCATTCCCCCCTTGTCCTGTCACTCCATTTCTCTTGTGAACAGTTCCTCCCCATCCCAAGCACTGCATGTCCATGAAGTCACTCTTGGCCATGCTCTGATCCCACTAAGTTGTGGATCACCATGGATTTCTCAGTTATACAAGCTCCTTGTCCAGGGGAGAAGCCAGTGCTCCTGAAACAGCTTCCCTCTTCCCATGTCATGGGGAAGACTCCTAAGAGCTTAAAACAACTGCATCTGTCACTCTCCTTTCATTAACTAAAACAAACCTTGCAAAGAGCCACTGCCTTGACACCCAGGTGACAGTGCCCTTTCCACTCCACACATCTTGGAAAACAACATCCCAAGAGCTGGGTTTGCACCATCCCAGCTCATATCCTTGTGGAAACAGCCTAGCTGTGCACAGCATTCCAAGCAGGAAAACTCCTACCTGTTAACTTGGCAGAATGGAGCCTGGCCAGGTATCTGGAGAGCTCACTGGAAAAGCTATTTAAGGAGTTACATCTCTATAACACAGGATAATCACAGACTTCAAGGTTGGAAAAGACCTCCCAGATAGATTCCAAACTTTGACCAAATGACATCTTGTCAAATAACCACAGCACTAAGTGCTGTCATTAATAATAATAACAACTAATAACACTGGCACAGCCCTAAAAACCAATGTGCTTGAAATACTACAATAACAGAGTAACTTCCTGATTTCCTGAATAATATATATTTTTTAACTCCAATCTCTGCTACAAAACACATCTCTCTAAAATAAGCAGCTTGCTTTGCATTATTCTCTGAGGTATTTCTCTACAATATGAAAACTACTCCTGCAATAGTTTATTTTTTTCTGCAAAAAGACAAACTCTTAAAATTATATTGTAGAAATTTGCAGTCTGTGGTGCTAGGAAAGGACCTGGAAATACCCTCCAACATTAATACATGAAGAACTAGGCAAAGGTTATAAATATGTTCCTCTCTTTACCTCAAGCACAGTGTCACTTAAGTGGAACAGGAGAAACCTGTGCTTTTATTTAGAGGAAGAGAAAATAATGGCACTGTCTTGTTTACTTTATTTCCTCTTGTTTAGGATAAAATACAGCAGAGAATGTTATTTTTTGAAGACCATATTTACATCTGTGACAGCATATAGACCAGGCTTGCAAATATTTATAAAATCCCTCCAAAAATACTGTTGCCTTCTGCAACAGCACTGTCCAATTTTCATAAATCCTGATATTTCCACATCTGCAGAAGAAATGTTGAATTCTCTCTCATGGCTGTCTGGGTTCTGAGCTTTTGGGAAGAACTTTAGCCACGGTTTTCAAGCTTTGCTCTGTAATCTTTAGGGCCAGGAACATGAACTCAAAAGCCTTTTTATAAACCCCAAAATTCCTCTGAATAAAGACACCTCTCACCTTTCCCTCCCCAGCTTACTGCAGAGCCATTCCTATTGTCCCTACACCTCTGCCCCTCCTGCCAGGAAAACAGGTAATTATAAAGAAAATTTATAGGGTTTCATGTTGTGAAAGAGTAGCAGGAAGAATAAAAACCCTGCTAAAAAGTGTGTTGGAAATAATGGGATTTGAGAACAAGGCAAAGTGCAAGGCAGGGGAATTTTAACCCCAGTGTTGGGATGGCCCCACCACATCCAAGGCAAGTGAGGGGTTACTCCAGATGATTAAAGCAAGGAAGGAAAAGCAGCAGGATTGAAGGATCCAGACCAAGCAGTGGGTGGCTGGCAAGGAAGGGACCTGCTGAGGCGTAGGCACGGTGGCCCAGAATAGAGCTGCAGCCTGGAGGGGTGTGGGAGCCTGGCTGCTCCCTGCATCCCCACAGCAGGAATGCCTTAGCCCATAGGGGATTTAACACAAGCTCTGGAAGTGTTTTAGGAAGGAGAGAAAGGTAGTTAATCAAAACTGGTGTTTGGCTCTGTTTTTAAACACAGCTGTCAGATGAATGTTGTTAATTTGTTTATATTTCTTCCTTCCCTGCTGCACTCAGGGGCAGCATTTCCCTTGGGAATCCACAATGAGCTTTTCCTCGAGATATATTGGAAAGGATGTCAACAGCAAGGGCAGATTAGCAGGATCTGAGATTTTACAGATATTGTGGAACATGGCCCTGAGTAAGCCTCAAACACATATTTTGGTGGTGAATTTCTATTTATAAACTTGAGAAAAGTGACTTATGTGTTAATCATCACATTCAGTATGGTATTTGCAAGGCTTTTTTAATGTAAAAGTGATCATGGCCAGTTTGCATCAGGACAGAATTTGGCTCTATGTATCTCAAATTTACTCTGATACTGGTATCTGATCTATGTTAAATGTCCTCACCTATTACTTTAAAGAGGAGGAATTATCCCACAACGATAGAAACCAAGCCTGGAGTTGTTTTGGTTTTGTCATATGCAATGCCAAGATCTGTTGTGCATTTTCCTGTTAATCATCTTGGTAACCTTCAAGGAGGATTTAATCATTTCAACATGAGATCATAAGTATATTTTTATTAAAACTTATCAGCATACCTCTTTGTTTAGGCCATGTTAGGCAAGTCACTTTTGGCTTCTTTCAGAGATCTTATCAGAAAAATCTCAGCAACACTGCAGTCGTTTGTTCCAAAGTAAAGAAGTAAGTGAAAAGTAAACCCAAATTCAGCCATTCCAGTAACTCAAACAAAGCTTTTATGTCCACGCTGACCTAGAGAAAAGTAGGAGACAAAGGGAATTTCCAGTTCAGCTTGTGTCCTGTCTCCCAGAGCAGTAAACATCCCAGGAAGCCAGCAGCAGCCAAAAGGCCCATTGTATTTTCTCCCTGGAATCTGTCTGCCCCTACAGGGACACTTGGCTCCCCAAGCTGACTGGGAATTTTGGCTAACCTCACCCACTACACTCAAGGTTTTCTGCCATTCCACATCTATTAAACCCAAGGCCACAGGAAGCTTAAATGAGGAGGAACTGTTGCTGTTGGGGCACCAACAAAAGAAAAGCTCTAACACTCAGCACCCATCACCCACATAAGATTGAACAAGGACTACAGGACTCTACCAACTTTACCCATCAAAATGTTAATTAAACCCTGGCCATTTCAGAGCCATAATGAATCATCACACTTGACCAGCTCAGCTTTACTTCAAGCCCATATCCTCACACAGCCTGGCAGAAATTCAAGAGCCACAAGTCCACGGTCAGGAATTTGAAAGACAACACACTCCCCTGTTCTGCAGTCCCAAGGCTCAGCTGGACAGAAAAGCCACCAGGAATAACATCCACAACTCCACATTTTCTGCATCTCCTCTTCACTTACACTGAAGAATAATTCATTATTATGCAAGAACTAAAAATAATGCCAGGCCAAAGCAGTGAATTCCTTCAAACACCACTGGGATTCTATTTTCCTCAAAGGTCTCCCTTACTTTACAAATCTCTTTGCATAGTTAAAGGGCTGAAAAAATAAAGTTAGAAGGCTCACTGAGAAGTTGGCATTTCCAATTATAAAGGTCTTACAGGAAAGCATCAACACTTTTAAAACATCTTCTTGTAGAGCTCTGAACAAGTCTGAAGGCCAATATTTAATATTTCCAGTGTTGCAGTGACTGCACATAAATTTATCTTTTCCTAGAATGCCTCTGTTGGAATATTTCACAAGCTAACAAGGTTGGCCTACAACTAAGAACTTTGTGTTTCTTTTTATCCTTAGCTTGCAAAAGAGTTCTGAATTTTTTTGTTAAGCATTCAGCCAGCTCAGCTCTATTTTTTCCCCCCGATTTTACACTATGTGATCTAATTTGTTAATTTAAATTGCACACTTTCCAAGGAAGCAGTTACACCCCCCCTTTAACCTCCCATCTCCAACTGCTTTTTATAAAGCAACTGTGATATAACATAGTAGACATTTCAGAATATCAGAGCAACAAGAAAGTGTTTTAAATACGTAATATTAAAGAGCACAAGTGTTCAGGAAAACACCAAGTGGATTCCACTAGCTAATAGTCTGCTTAACTTTTATAAGCTGAGCAAATGAGCTTTATCAAGACTTATTTTCATAATGGTCTATTTTTTTTTGGTATTACAGATATAGCTCCAACAAGCAGAAGGCAAAACATTAACATAAGGATGTTGCAGGGATTCTGTTCTTGATTTGACAAGAGCTCCTGGTGGTTTCCAGTACACCAGAGCACGGAGGTGAATCCAGCAGGGTGTGTTTACAAAGCAGGGAACACTGAACCTGTCATCCACAGGATGCACATGCAATATTCCCTGGAAAGCAGAGCAAGGACTAGGATATGTATTATTTATTGTTTCCATTATATACCACCCCCCAAGACCCTGTGTCTGCTCTGCCTTGAGGTAAAGCTCCAGACACAGCAGCCTGAGGCAGGGGGGGCTCCAGGATGGGATGTGCCAGGCTGTCCCTCAGGGACCTTATGGAAGCAAACACCCCTTTCCACACTGCCACACCCCAAGGAATTGTACTCCACTTACAGTAAGAAAATAATTTTCATTCTTCAATACATTGCTTCTTTATCGTGTTTTTCTTATGACTCCACCTATATTCAAGATATCCTTTCTGGCAGATCTAATCTCAATTTCCTTTTTTCCTGGCTTCCCAAGTTCCATGAAGTTATCCTTCCACTCTCTGCAGGCAGGTATTAAACACCTCACCCTAATGAAGCCATTCAAGCCCTGATCCCAAACCACTCCAACAGGCAGGATGCTGGATAGATCAGCTGAGATATCAAATAAAAACCAAATATAACTCAGCCAAGGCTATTTGATTTCCTCAAAGTCTGCATTGCAACGTCTCTAATCATTTGGCTTCATACTTTCTATTAATATTAAAAAAATAGAAAAGACTTTTTCACCACAGCATGCCAAGGGTGAAGCCCATCCTGGGGTCCATGAACTGTCACTATGGATATACTCACTGAGGAAAAATAAACACTTAAAGCTCCCAGCTACTTAAGAAAGCTATCAGAGCATGAAGAAGAATCCTGGTTCAATGTTTCTTTGTGTAAAAAAATTGTTCAACAAGGCTTTTAATACATACTGAAATGAGATCTGATACGTGTTCTTGCTGTTCAGTGTTGTACTACTTGCTTTTACTAAACCTTATTTTCAGAGTATTTACCTAAAAACAGTCTCCTGTTTATCTGCAACAGTGATAAAATGAATGAATCAAGAAATAGGTTTCTTTGAATCATTCTTCCTATAAAACAAACCCAGACTGGAAATCCCAAAAATCTCACCTTCTCCAGGCAGCTCTGGAACTTCCTGCTTGAAGTTACCACTAACAGAAAACAAATCAGATTGATTTTATTATCACTGGGGGTAATTGGCTTCATCCCTCCACCTAAGCTTCCCATGGGCTTGGACATTTGCCTGCTCCTTCCAAATCTGCCTGTTAATAGCACATGATTTTGGTAGTGAGAGCTTCAGAATCTAAAAAAAAAAAAAATCAGAATAAAAGCAGGACTCTATAAAAGGCAGTAGCTTATTTCTACTGAAGCCAACGCTTATTAGGGACAGGGAGATAGACCTGATGTCTGCTTTTACAAAATTTAAACAAAGAACTCCAAGTATAGAAAAAATAACTAGCAGAATCAAAAGAAACCATCTTTGGAAGACTATTTCAGTATTCCCAAATAAGTCTTGTTAATAACTCTGTAAAGTACCTTGTCCTGCAGTAATTTTTAGTTTTGTTGTTTATGCCTCCTAATTCCTTAATACACAGCAGGTTTTGGTATTTTCTGAGATGCTTGGTAAGAAGAGAATTATTGGCAAAGCATAAGTATGTTCCTAAACTCCATCTTCCTGTTTTTTTTCCATTTTCCCTTCAAGCTTCAGGGGCTGTCAAGAAGTATCGAGCATCTCATTTGTTCTCTGCAATTTATACCATTTTCTTTTTTCCCTTCCCCCTTTTTTGAAGTTTGCTTCTGCCTGACAGATCTGTTCCTGATGGCTTTCCCATAGTCTGGCTGCTGCAGCAGCTACATGGGTTGGGATGTGAATTGAGAACTACAAAAAAAATCCTGGAAAACCACAAGTCTAACTAGTAGCTCATTTTACTGAAATTTATGTACAATTATTTCAGAAAAACCCTCAACTTATTTCACAGTCAACTTGGAGTTCCTTGGTGCTTCCAGTAACAAAAATTTCCTCCAAAAGGCAGAGAGCTGAAACCCTTGCATTGAAAACACAGAAGTATTCCCAGAATAAAACTTCTCAAAAGGCAAGCTCAGGCTCTTTGATTTTGCTCCTTGTTTATTTGAGCATTTCTAAGTGCACAGAGAATAAAAGATGTTTTCAGTTTTTGGCAACACCAAGATCTTCGAAGCAAAACAACAAAAGTAATAATTTATAAGAATTATGCAAACTTCCAAACATTAGCAGTGTATGACTGGGGAAGCTGCTGTGAAATAATAATTTCACAAAATTCATGTCAGAACAGTTCATGTCATCATGCTTTTTATAAAAACAAGCTGCCTGGCTGTCCAGAAAAGATAGTCCAAACACTATATAAATCACATCAGTTAAAGATGAACTTCACAGCAGCTGCACTGAAATTCAGGACAGAGCATGTGTGGGATGAAGAGAGTGGCTAGACCATAGATCTGCCTCCAGATAAAGGCACTAAAAGCCTCCAGGAATTCCCATTCCAAGATAAGGACCGAGTTTTAGGAATATTTATGATGATATGACAGATTTTACCACCAAACAGATGTAACTGAGATCAGGAAGGAGCTCAAGAGCACATCACCTCTGTGAGTCACATTCCAGGCTCTCAGAATGGGTACCAGTGAAAGGAGGAATCACTGGAAGTCTTTCCAAAGGCACAGAAACATCATTTCATCCTTTATCATCTCAACAAGCAGGAATAATTGCCATTTCATTCAGCACAGCACTAAGACACGAGTGCAAAGTCAGTCCCATTTCTTACATCATGCTGAATCCTTCTCCTGTGTTTGGAGAAATGAGTGGTTGCTTATTCTGGTGGAATTTTCATTAGCAAACACACACACAAAAACATCTGAGGCAGCAGAACTGCTGCTACTGTGTAAAGAGATCCTACTGAGGGCAAATCTGCATTTATATCTAGAGTAAAAAAAAATACATAAAAAGCTAATATTGACTGTGACATCTCTACAAAATATATTCACGACCATATACAGGTTTCCAATTCCAGAGACAATTTCTAAAAACAAGCCATCCCTCAAACTCTTGGACACCAATCACCAGAGCATATTTCCTCTTGGACAGATACACTCAATTATTTAGGCAAACCAAACTCCTCCAGGAGACTGGAAATGCTGGCACTGGGAAGTCAACAGATGTCAAAACCCAGTCAGCAAAGACTTCTAGGAATTCATTAGCCAGTGAACACCTGTAATGCTGATTCCAAGCATTAAACACACACAATGCCATAACCAACCTAATACAGAGCTGCTGCTGCAGTTTTCTTGCCAATCAAGAGCATTTGGTCACAGAACTCAAAAAATTAGTAAATAAATAATTCAAATTACATCAACCACTTTCCCACCCTTGTATAACATTCTAAGTGTGGACTGGGGAGCCCAAATAAAGCCAGAACCTTGCATTACAGGTTCAGAATTCCCACATGGAATTGGTTCTCCAGCTACTTTCCTACAAGACAAACTGCACAAGGGTTATGTTAGGAAGGTGCCTCCAAGTAAAGAAATGCATCTCTACCAGAGAACAACTTTCCCCCATAAAAATCCTTTTTACTACATTTTGTTTTTAATTAAAACATGGATTTTGGCTTTAAACTTAGTGCAGGACATCACAGGCTTGCCTATATTTGTTTATTGAAACAATGGAAACGAGTTCAGGATTCAAATATTGACAGATCTACTATTGGAATGTAAATCCTTCTGTTCCTTCATTCTCCTTTGACTTCATAATAGAAACAACCTTCTCTCCTTTATGCAATTTTGCTTATTTATCCATATATTGATCCAGTATGTAGAAAAATACTATGACATTCCCTCAATTCTTAAGCCTCTCTCATAAAACTCTACATTTCAGCTTTAAATCATTATTTTCACCCCATTTTTAACTAATGGAGATTTTTAATTACTTACCTTCCCCAATACTGGAAGACAAAGCCCCAAAACTCATAAATATTGATAGGTCTATTTCTTTAGGGTCCTTCATCTTCAAGATGCATGTTAAGAATCAGTTCAGTGACCATCTAAGAAACCTCACCATTACAATAATTTTCTACTCTGGATATTAATTTATAAATATTTTTAAGCCAAGAGTCTGATCCCCTACAAATACACCCAAACAACTGGCAATATAACTAACTCAAGGATCAAGTCTACGAGCTTGAGAAATGTGGGTTGAGTTACTCAGAAAAAGAAATCCAGCAGGAACTTCAAGGGATGACACCTCCAGCTAAAAAGCAACACAATTACAGTTGAGATCCAGAAATTTTCATTAAATATTAATATCTCCTGCTTTGCCTTGCTCCTCCAGCAGCAAAAGGATAAATACACAGACAGCAAAACCTGCCCAGCTAATCAAGTTGTAGGTGCTGGTTAAATGAAATTTTGACTCCTCTCCCTGTGTTTAGAGATAGACAATGAGCACTCTGAATTGCTAGAGCAGATTCTTTCCAAACCCCACAGCACTCACAGATCCAAAATGCTGGATGGCTCCCAAGAACTGGTAAAAGGATGACAGTTCCCTACCTTTCACAAAACATAAACCACTGATTTTATTAGGAAAAGACAATTTTCCCAGATACACAACTGATATATAGCTGGGGTGACCAGCAAACACCAACTGATCAAACCCTGAAGCAACAGGGCAGGAAAAAAAACCCTCTTTATTCCACCTAAACACATCTACAACCCTTACAAGACTAACTAGAAAACAAACAGGGAGAACCCTAAGGAGCACAAATTACCAGAACAGAAAACTATGCATAAACAATTCAGGCCTTTATCTGCATGTATAATTTTAAACACAATTACATTTACCATGAGCACATGGGACAAAAATGGTTGTGTGGCTGCAGCTTTAACATGAACCATAAGCAGCTCAAAGCTGCCACATTTAAACAGAGCAGCCACACACTCTGATGGAAACCTGGCTGAACACCAGTCCCAAGCAGAGACACTAAAGAAGGTGCAGGGAGCACTTAATTCAGAACAATAATGAGCAGCTTTCCCATTCAGTTTTATGTGGATAAATCTTTTTGTCTCTCTTTACCACCCTTACAAACCAAGGCCACCTTGCCATATCTGCAGTCCTTAAGTGACAGCTGCGTGTTCCCAGCACTCTGCTGCTTAGTGGCACAACGGTGACTTAGGAACTCAGCAAAGAGGACAGATGAAGCCTACAAAATTGGTTTAGAGCAGATTTGTATGTGGCAAAAAGTATGAACAAGTCCTAAATCTGCACAGACCAATGCAGAGCAACAGCTCTCCATGACACCTGAGCTCCACATTCTCTGGTTTTATGCTTGAAACAGCCACAATGTGCATCAACATTGGCATAACTGGAATCCCAGGATGAGTTAGGTGAAAAGGGACCACAGTGGCTCAGTCCCACCATTCCAGAGCACACGACACAGGATTGTATCCAGCTGGTTCTGGGGCATCTCCAGAGAGGGAAACTCCACAGCCCCTTTAAACCAATTGTTCCAAGAAGTTCTTCCTCCTGTCCAGGTGGAATCAGTTCCTGCCTGCTCATCTTGTGCCACAGCTGGGCCCCCTGGACAGAGCCTGGTCCCTGCACACAGGGACACCCAGGGCTGAGGCCCCTTCTCAGCTCAGGCTCCTCTGGAGGCTGAACAGCCCCAGCTCCCTCAGCCTTTCCTGGGCAGGGATGCTCCAGGCCCTTCCTCATCTCCACAGCCAGCGCTGGCCCTGCTCCAGGAGCTCCCTGTGCCTCTTGTACTGACAACCACAGCACTCCAGATGTGCCTCCCAGGGCAGGATTCCCTTCCTGACCTTCTGGGAATGCTCTTCCAATGCATCCCAGGTCCCATCAGCCTTTCTGGCCTCCACCACACTGCTGGTCAGGGATACTTTGGTGTCCACCAGGATCCCCAGGTCCTTCTCTGCAGAGCTGATTTCCAGCAAGTTGGCAAGAAAAGTCCATGGAGAATGAGGGCACCAGCCCAAACCTCCTGAAGAGTCTGTAGGAGTCAGAGACAGCACAGCTCCAGTGTGTGAGGGGACACCAAGTGACAGGTGACAAGGACAAGCTTTCCTTTTGATTCCCATCATCACACATGGAAAAGAATCAAAGAACTGGGTACATTTTTCCACTCCTGTGCTTCTATAAAAATCACTTTGTAGGCTGCTCCAAAGCAACAAAGCTCAAAGATGGGGATTTTTATGTAAAATGTGATAAAGAGGACCTAAATCTGTTCCATGATGTTACCATGCAACATTCAAACTGCACCCTTTCCTGGTAAGTTTTTAAAATACATCCAGTTTCAAAGAAAGTTCCAGGTCCAAAGCAATTACTTATTACAGTTCTTCAGGGCACTTCAGTGAATCCCAGGAGAGATTGTGTTTGCTAAGGAATGCAAAACACTTCCCTTATGGCAAAATTCTTTCAGACAAAGAAACTTGCTGGCTAGAGAATACAAACCATCCCAGCTCATCAAAAGGATTTTTGTAAAGCAAATTACTTTTCATTAATTATTACTTTAGATACATTCACCACTTTTAGCAGCTGTTTCAGACAAATTTATGTCTCTTGAACTGATATTCAGCCCTATGAAATAACACAAAGTAAATGAGGCATAACTGCAAAGGTCACCTTCACTCATATACCTTGCAGGAACCTGAAGTCAGAAACCCAGGACTTCAGTAAACACTTCTAAAAATCCCAAGTTGGAAATTTTTCATATTCCAGTAGTTCAAAAATTTTGAGCTACCAAGTGGGACTGGGCACTAAAAAGCCTTCTAATATTTTAGAATAAAAAAAACCTCCCAATAATTAACAAGTTAAAATTGACTGAGTTAAAAGAATTCAGGCCTGTCTCACTCTTCATCAGCAATCAACTTCATAATGAAGAAGCACAAACTCTTCAAGTCTCTGCATATTTAAAATTCTTATATAACTTTCTTTTAACAAGCCATGATGCTCTGTCTGGCTTCTCTGTTTCACTGCCATGTTGAACATATTCTTGCTCTTTTTAAACCGATTTCTAAATAAGATAATTCTCCAAACGACTAGAAGTTCCAGCCAGCTCAGTTGTTCAATGCCATTTGGAATTTTTCACCTATTAAAGAAAATCCTGGGAAGATGTATTAACAAGGCAGTGATATGCACTGCAAAAATTAAGAAAATAATAAAGTATAGGATTAGAGCATAATGTAAGATATCATTTTGGTTCATCTTCCACAAATACAAATTAAAACATGCTCTGAGGCCTCTCAGAAGAGATCACAGAACTGGAGTCGAAACACAAGAGAAGAGGTTAAATTAATGAGATATATTAAAAAGCAGTTAATAGCAATTATTAGTTTCTCTGTGACAAGAAACTTCCACTCACTAAATAACTCACTGAATTCTGCATTCCTAGCAGGAATTAGTTCCATTTATTCCTAAACAATTCATTGGAGCACTGGCTCTGCAATGGCAAGGTAGGAAATGCTTTTGTAAACTCAAAGATCTCATTTCAACCAAACCCTGCAAGAATGGTGTTTGTAAAGAGGGAAAGATTAAGAAATAAGCCCTGGAACAAATTTCTCTACACTGGCTGAAATTTCATTTTCCATTAAAGCTGTCAACCAGCTTTACTGAAATAAATGATTTTAATTACACTTGACAAGCCCCAAAACTGCTGTCTTATTTGCAAAAAGTCCTGTTCAACATCAGCCATCAAAAGAAAATCAATATTTCAACTCTTCTCTTTTCTCCTGGCATTGATTCCCCTGCAAAGCAGATGGAAAGCAGAATTTTAGCAGGGGAGTTGCTGAGAGAAATATCTAGAAGGCACAGAATAGTAACTTCCACATATGCAAGTAGATTGACATCTAGTGTAAAAACACTGAACTACAAAGTCATATTGACTAGGACTAATTTAAAATATTTTTTATATGACAAGAGAATTAAAATATAAGCAGCTGAATTTATTATTTTTTAATGGCTACACAGAGCCAAAAACATTGTACCAGTGACTGAGGAAATGCAGCTTCCAGCAGAGAAGAAATGAGATGTCAGCAGTGAATCAGAACAGCAAATGAGAAAAATCAGAAATAAAGTGTGTCAGGAAGAACAAGGAAGAACACAGGGCAGCTGGTCAAGGAGAAGCTTTTTCCACCTCTGGATAAGGTGAAGTAAAGAGCTGGAGACAAAGACAGAATGCTTGCATGGTTAAGAATTTATGACTGAAAGATCTTGGATATTCCAATTTCTGTGTAGCAGGCCCAGAGACTGATGAGGAAAGGTGTAAATAGTCTCTAATCAACAGCGTTCTTCAACACAATGAATGGGGAAACAAAGTTTCTATGTTGTAGAAAAGATAATAAAAGGCTTTTCAAAGTCATTCCACTGAAGACTGACCCCTTGTACCAGCACCATGATCCTAGAATTTAGTGTACTAAATATCTTTGGGCAAAGGTGTCTTCCTTCCTTTCAAAGGAATCTCAAGAGTTCATCACCTTTTTACTCTGTGTCCAGTATGGGTGGCAGAGATTTTGGATCTCACCACATTTTCCTGGCTGTTTCAGCACTATTTTCAGGTTCCTGCCTGTAATAATTTCACAAAAGCAATGTCTAAAAAAAATTGTGTCTTAAATGCTGAGAGAAGAGCATGCAAGCAGTTCCTGACTCATTCACAAGTCATTTTCCATAACAATATTAGGACACCTCTTTGTCTCAAACCCAATATTTCATTCTGTACTGATACCCCCATTGCCCTGAGTGATGGTAAAGGCCAAAATTTATTTTTTTT